GTAGCACCGTTGATCTTCTCTATCAAGTAGCACCATTGATCTACTCTATCACGTAGTAGCACCATTGATATACTCTATCACGTAGTAGCATTGATCTACTCTATCACGTAGCACCATTGATCTACTCTATCACGTAGCACCATTGATCTACTCTATCACGTAGTAGCACCATTGATCTACTCTATCACGTAGCACCATTGATCTACTCTATCACGTAGTAGCATTGATCTACTCTATCACGTAGCACCGTTGATCTACTCTATCACGTAGCACCATTGATTTACTCTATCACGTAGTAGCACCATTGATATACTCTATCACGTAGTAGCATTGATCTACTCTATCACGTAGCACCATTGATCTACTCTATCACGTAGCACCATTGATCTACTCTATCACGTAGCACCATTGATCTACTCTATCACGTAGTAGCATTGATCTACTCTATCACGTAGCACCGTTGATCTACTCTATCACGTAGCACCATTGATTTACTCTATCACGTAGTAGCACCATTGATATACTCTATCACGTAGTAGCATTGATCTACTCTATCACGTAGCACCATTGATTTACTCTATCACGTAGTAGCACCATTGATATACTCTATCACGTAGCACCATTGATCTAATCTATCACGTAGTAGCACCGTTGATCTACTCTATCACGTAGCACCATTGATCTACTCTATCACGTAGCACCATTGATCTACTCTATCACGTAGTAGAATTGATCTACTCTTTCACGTAGTAGCACCATTGATATACTCTATCACGTAGTAGCATTGATCTACTCTATCACGTAGCACCATTGATCTACTCTATCACGTAGCACCATTGATCTACTCTATCAAGTAGCACCATTGATCTATACTATCAAGTAGCACCATTGATCTACTCTATCACGTAGTAGCACCATTGATCTACTCTATCACGTAGCACCATTGATCTACTCTATCAAGTAGCACCATTGATCTACTCTATCACGTAGCACCATTGATCTATACTATCAAGTAGCACCATTGATCTACTCTATCACGTAGCACCATTGATCTAATCTATCACGTAGTAGCACCGTTGATCTACTCTATCAAGTAGCACCATTGATCTACTCTATCACGTAGTAGCACCATTGATATACTCTATCACGTAGTAGCATTGATCTACTCTATCACGTAGCACCATTGATCTACTCTATCACGTAGCACCATTGATCTATACTATCAAGTAGCACCATTGATCTACTCTATCACGTAGCACCATTGATCTAATCTATCACGTAGTAGCACCGTTGATCTTCTCTATCAAGTAGCACCATTGATCTACTCTATCACGTAGTAGCACCATTGATATACTCTATCACGTAGTAGCATTGATCTACTCTATCACGTAGCACCATTGATCTACTCTATCACGTAGCACCATTGATCTACTCTATCACGTAGTAGCACCATTGATCTACTCTATCACGTAGCACCATTGATCTACTCTATCACGTAGTAGCATTGATCTACTCTATCACGTAGCACCGTTGATCTACTCTATCACGTAGCACCATTGATTTACTCTATCACGTAGTAGCACCATTGATATACTCTATCACGTAGTAGCATTGATCTACTCTATCACGTAGCACCATTGATCTACTCTATCACGTAGTAGCACCATTGATCTACTCTATCACGTAGCACCATTGATCTACTCTATCACGTAGTAGCATTGATCTACTCTATCACGTAGCACCGTTGATCTACTCTATCACGTAGCACCATTGATTTACTCTATCACGTAGTAGCACCATTGATATACTCTATCACGTAGTAGCATTGATCTACTCTATCACGTAGCACCATTGATTTACTCTATCACGTAGTAGCACCATTGATATACTCTATCACGTAGTAGCATTGATCTACTCTATCACGTAGCACCATTGATCTACTCTATCACGTAGCACCATTGATCTACTCTATCAAGTAGCACCATTGATCTATACTATCAAGTAGCACCATTGATCTACTCTATCACGTAGTAGCACCATTGATCTACTCTATCACGTAGCACCATTGATCTACTCTATCAAGTAGCACCATTGATCTACTCTATCAAGTAGCACCATTGATCTAATCTATCACGTAGTAGCACCGTTGATCTACTCTATCAAGTAGCACCATTGATCTACTCTATCACGTAGTAGCACCATTGATATACTCTATCACGTAGTAGCATTGATCTACTCTATCACGTAGCACCATTGATCTACTCTATCACGTAGCACCATTGATCTACTCTATCACGTAGCACCATTGATCTAATCTATCACGTAGTAGCACCGTTGATCTACTCTATCACGTAGCACCATTGATCTACTCTATCACGTAGCACCATTGATCTACTCTATCACGTAGTAGAATTGATCTACTCTTTCACGTAGTAGCACCATTGATATACTCTATCACGTAGTAGCATTGATCTACTCTATCACGTAGCACCATTGATCTACTCTATCACGTAGCACCATTGATCTACTCTATCAAGTAGCACCATTGATCTATACTATCAAGTAGCACCATTGATCTACTCTATCACGTAGTAGCACCATTGATCTACTCTATCACGTAGCACCATTGATCTACTCTATCAAGTAGCACCATTGATCTACTCTATCACGTAGCACCATTGATCTATACTATCAAGTAGCACCATTGATCTACTCTATCACGTAGCACCATTGATCTAATCTATCACGTAGTAGCACCGTTGATCTACTCTATCAAGTAGCACCATTGATCTACTCTATCACGTAGTAGCACCATTGATATACTCTATCACGTAGTAGCATTGATCTACTCTATCACGTAGCACCATTGATCTACTCTATCACGTAGCACCATTGATCTATACTATCAAGTAGCACCATTGATCTACTCTATCACGTAGCACCATTGATCTAATCTATCACGTAGTAGCACCGTTGATCTTCTCTATCAAGTAGCACCATTGATCTACTCTATCACGTAGTAGCACCATTGATATACTCTATCACGTAGTAGCATTGATCTACTCTATCACGTAGCACCATTGATCTACTCTATCACGTAGCACCATTGATCTACTCTATCACGTAGTAGCACCATTGATCTACTCTATCACGTAGCACTATTGATCTACTCTATCACGTAGTAGCATTGATCTACTCTATCACGTAGCACCGTTGATCTACTCTATCACGTAGCACCATTGATTTACTCTATCACGTAGTAGCACCATTGATATACTCTATCACGTAGTAGCATTGATCTACTCTATCACGTAGCACCATTGATCTACTCTATCACGTAGCACCATTGATCTACTCTATCAAGTAGCACCATTGATCTATACTATCAAGTAGCACCATTGATCTACTCTATCACGTAGTAGCACCATTGATCTACTCTATCACGTAGCACCATTGATCTACTCTATCAAGTAGCACCATTGATCTACTCTATCACGTAGCACCATTGATCTATACTATCAAGTAGCACCATTGATCTACTCTATCACGTAGCACCATTGATCTAATCTATCACGTAGTAGCACCGTTGATCTACTCTATCAAGTAGCACCATTGATCTACTCTATCACGTAGTAGCACCATTGATATACTCTATCACGTAGTAGCATTGATCTACTCTATCACGTAGCACCATTGATCTACTCTATCACGTAGCACCATTGATCTACTCTATCACGTAGAAGCACCATTGATCTACTCTATCACGTAGCACCATTGATCTACTCTATCACGTAGTAGCACCATTGAACTACTCTATCACGTAGCACCATTGATCTACTCTATCACGTAGTAGAATTGATCTACTCTTTCACGTAGTAGCACCATTGATATACTCTATCACGTAGTAGCATTGATCTACTCTATCACGTAGCACCATTGATCTACTCTATCACGTAGCACCATTGATCTACTCTATCAAGTAGCACCATTGATCTATACTATCAAGTAGCACCATTGATCTACTCTATCACGTAGTAGCACCATTGATCTACTCTATCACGTAGCACCATTGATCTACTCTATCAAGTAGCACCATTGATCTACTCTATCACGTAGCACCATTGATCTATACTATCAAGTAGCACCATTGATCTACTCTATCACGTAGCACCATTGATCTAATCTATCACGTAGTAGCACCGTTGATCTACTCTATCAAGTAGCACCATTGATCTACTCTATCACGTAGTAGCACCATTGATATACTCTATCACGTAGTAGCATTGATCTACTCTATCACGTAGTAGCACCATTGATATACTCTATCACGTAGTAGCATTGATCTACTCTATCACGTAGCACCATTGATCTACTCTATCACGTAGCACCATTGATCTACTCTATCACGTAGAAGCACCATTGATCTACTCTATCACGTAGCACCATTGATCTACTCTATCACGTAGTAGCACCATTGATCTACTCTATCACGTAGCACCATTGATCTACTCTATCACGTAGTAGAATTGATCTACTCTATCACGTAGCACCGTTGATCTACTCTATCACGTAGCACTATTGATCTACTCTATCACGTAGTAGCACCATTGATCTACTCTATCACGTAGCACCATTGATCTACTCTATCACCTAGCACCATTGATCTACTCTATCACGTAGCACCATTGATCTACTCTATCACGTAGCACCATTGATCTACTCTATCACGTAGCACCATTGATCTACTCTATCACCTAGCACCATTGATCTACTCTATCACGTAGCACCATTGATCTACTCTATCACGTAGCACCATTGATCTACTCTATCACGTAGCACCATTGATCTACTCTATCACCTAGCACCATTGATCTACTCTATCACGTAGCACCATTGATCACTCAATCACGTAGCAGCAATGTAGCTAGCTAACATTACTCTCAGCTCTCAAATACTTCGGCGTTACCAATGGTTAATGGTTTAGTTACAGATATAATAAATTGAACCAAGCAAAGCATTTTATTTCCACATGTACTGTATTACAAAAGTCTTTAATTTAACGATACAAAAGCAGATATTGAAGTAGATGTTTGAAGTGACACATTGACAGCAGTAAGGACATTGTGCTGACCACTGTCCTTAGAGGACATGACAAGCTGGACAGGGCCGGTTCTAGACAAATTTGACCTGGGTCAAGGTGACGTCACCTTGGACGTTCAGATGGTCGATGCGCTGGAGGGGGTGGAGGCGGTGGTTGAACTCGACAAAGTGCTGGTTGTTCACTGCGATCTGGGGGCGTCAAATGGGAAGAGATTTAGTTAATGAGATTTATAATGAGATTTTTAATGAGATTTTTAATGAGTTTATTTTTTTAGAATTTTTTTTTTTGGTGAGTTTTTTTTTTAAGATGCAGGTTGTGGGTTAATGTTAATGTGGGTATTTGGTTTATGGTGGAGTTGTGGTGGGCTTGGTGGTGTGTATGTAGTGGTGAGCTTGGTAGTGGGAGTGTGGTGATGGTTTTAGTGGTGTGTATGTGGTGGTGGAATTGGTGGTGTGTATGTGGAGGTGGGCTTGGTGGTGTGTGGTGGTGGAATTGGTGGTGGTGTGTATGTGGAGGTGGGCTGGTGGTGGGTGTGTGGTGGTCTTGGTGGTGGGTTGTGGTGGTGGGCTGGTGGTGGGTTGTGGTGGTGGGCTGGTGGTGGGTGTGTGTTGGGCTTGGTGGTGTGTCTGTGGTGGTGGGCTTGGTGGTGTGTATGTAGAGGTGGGCTTAGTGGTGTGTATGTAGAGGTAGGCTTGGTGGTGTGTATGTGGAGGTGGGCTTGGTGGTGAGTTTGGTATCTGGTGTGTACCGATATGGGTTTGGTAGTGGGTCTGTGACAACGTGGGCTCGGTAGTCGGTGCATGGTAGTGGGTTTAATAGAAGGTGAGTGGTAGTGGGTGTGTGATGGTGGGCTTGTTTGTTTACCGTGGTAGGCTTGGTGACAATGTGGCTTGGTAGTAAAAGATGAACGTTGATTGATCTTAAGTGATGGGGTAAGTAATACACTGAGGATTGTTGGATTACCATGTGTGTGTGTATGTATGTATGTTTCTGTGTGTACGGATTATATAAACAAACAAAACGATTGAATATGAACTAGAACACCCTCATCTACTGTAAACGTAATCTGATTTTAAAAACAACAACAACAACAACCAAACACTAACCTTGAACCCGTGCGACTCGACCAAGATGAGAATCTCAAACGGGACGTTTGGCACGAAGGGGAAGTAGCTGCAGTGCTTCTCCTCCGCCCCCCAGCCGCCCCCGGCCTTGTGGGTGCGGACCACGGTGTTGTGGCTGTCGCCGTAGTTGAACCTGGCGTCGAAGTGGAGGGCGACGTCGTTGGCGTCAAAGTTTGGTCCACACACCAGGTTGACGTTGAATCTGGGGTTAGGGTTAGAGGGAGATTTAACATGAGGTTAGAGGGGGTCAGACATGGGGTTAGAGGGGGGTCAGACATGGGGTTAGAGGGGGGTCAGACATGGGGTTAGAGGGGGGGTCAGACATGGGGTTAGAGGGGGGTCAGACATGGGGTTAGAGGGAGATTTAACATGAGGTTAGAGGGGGTCAGACATGGGGTTAGAGGGGGGTCAGACATGGGGTTAGAGGGGGGTCAGACATGGGGTTAGAGGGGGGGGGGTCAGACATGGGGTTAGAGGGGGGTCAGACATGGGGTTAGAGGGGGTCAGACGTATGGTTAGAGAGGGGTCAGGCATGGGGTTAGAGGGGGTCAGACATGGGGTTAGGGTTAGAGGGGGGTCAGACATGGGGTTAGGGTTAGAGGGGGGTCAGACATGGGGTTAGGGTTAGAGGGAGGTCAGACATGGGGTTAGAGGGGGGTCAGACATGGGGTTAGAGGGAGATTTAACATGAGGTTAGAGGGGGTCAGACATGGGGTTAGAGGGGGGTCAGACATGGGGTTAGAGGGAGATTTAACATGAGGTTAGAGGGGGTCAGACATGGGGTTAGAGGGGGGTCAGACATGGGGTTAGAGGGGGGTCAGACATGGGGTTAGAGGGGGGGTCAGACATGGGGTTAGAGGGGGGTCAGACATGGGGTTAGAGGGAGATTTAACATGAGGTTAGAGGGGGTCAGACATGGGGTTAGAGGGGGGTCAGACATGGGGTTAGAGGGGGGTCAGACATGGGGTTAGAGGGGGGGTCAGACATGGGGTTAGAGGGGGGTCAGACATGGGGTTAGAGGGGGTCAGACGTATGGTTAGAGAGGGGTCAGGCATGGGGTTAGAGGGGGTCAGACATGGGGTTAGGGTTAGAGGGGGGTCAGACATGGGGTTAGGGTTAGAGGGGGGTCAGACATGGGGTTAGGGTTAGAGGGAGGTCAGACATGGGGTTAGAGGGGGGTCAGACATGGGGTTAGAGGGAGGTCAGACATGGGGTTAGAGAGGGGTCAGACATGGGGTTAGAGGGGGGTCAGACATGGGGTTAGGGTTAGAGGGAGGTCAGACATGGGGTTAGAGGGGGGTCAGACATGGGGTTAGAGGGGGGTCAGACATGGGGTTAGAGGGAGGTCAGACATGGGGTTAGAGAGGGGTCAGACATGGGGTTAGAGGGGGGTCAGACATGGGGTTAGGGTTAGAGGGAGGTCAGACATGGGGTTAGAGGGGGGTCAGACATGGGGTTAGAGGGGGGTCAGACATTGGGTTAGGGTTAGAGGGGGGTCAGACATGGGGTTAGGGTTAGAGGGGGGTCAGACATGGGGTTAGAGGGGGGTCAGACATGGGGTTAGGGTTAGAGGGGGGTCAGATATGGGGTTAGGGTTAGAGGGGGGTCAGACATGGGGTTAGGGTTAGAGGGGGGTCAGACATGGGGTTAGGGTTAGAGGGGGGTCAGACATGGGGTTAGGGTTAGAGGGAGGTCAGAAATAGGGGTTAGAGGGGGTCAGACATGGGGTTAGGGTTAGAGGGAGGTCAGACATGGGTTTAGAGGGGGTCAGACATGGGTTTAGAGGGGGTCAGACATGGGGTTAGAGGGGGGTCAGACATGGGGTTAGAGGGGGTCAGACGTATGGTTAGAGAGGGGTCAGACATGGGTTTAGAGGGGGTCAGACGTATGGTTAGAGAGGGGTCAGGCATGGGGTTAGAGGGGGTCAGACATGGGGTTAGGGTTAGAGGGGGGTCAGACATGGGGTTAGGGTTAGAGGGAGGTCAGAAATAGGGGTTAGAGGGGGTCAGACATGGGTTTAGAGGGGGTCAGACGTATGGTTAGAGAGGGGTCAGGCATGGGGTTAGAGGGGGTCAGACATGGGGACCAATTACTCCGAGGTTGTTTTTATACAAAGCGTTATGAATAATAAGCCCACCAACCATTAAACCCACCAACTCATAAACTTGACAACCATTAAACTCACCAACCCATTAACCTATAAACCCACCACCCCACAACCCCATCAACCCACCAACCCATAACCTTACCAACCCAACTCCAACGACCCCCAACTCCAACGACCCCCGACCCCAACGACCCCTGTCTAACAATGACCCCCGCTAGTATACCTTGAGGCGCCAGGGCGAGGAATTCCATCAATAACAATTTTCCTGCCAGGGTAAATTCCGCCATTGATGAAGGTGGTCAGTGGGACAGGCTAGCAGAGGCAGCAACACATTTACAAAACTTTAGTTCAACAGTCCGACTTATACAACATATCCTTTCTTCAACTTATCCAACAGCTATCGTTTCTTTAACTGATAATTATCGTTTTGAACTTTTAAAACACCTATACTTTCTTCAACTGTTACAACAGATATCGTTTCTTGAACTTAAAATTATCGCTTTGAACTTTAAAACAATTATCGTATATGAGCTTGTTAAATAATTATCAATTTTTAAACAGTTACCATTTTTGAACTTTTTAAAATAGTTATAGTTTTTGAACTTTAACAACAAACTTACGCAACACATAAAAACGAAACATAGACACTATGTACAATCCTACAATTTGAGGTTCCATACATTACACTTCAAAGACACCAGTCAACATTACTTTTAATATATCTCATTCGCCCCAAACAAGCTTGACATTACTTACAGGGTTCTGGATCTGAAAGGAAAAAGATAAGCGCGTCAAGTTAGACAACTCTATTTGCACAACTCTCACAGTTTAACCTAGGAGCGATGCAGTTACCTCCCGCACTTTGTCACTGGGCTATAATTTATGCGAGGTTAAAAGGGTATGTGTGCGATAACCTAATCTACCAAGGCTGATAAAGAAAGTTGTCTACGTGGTAATAAAAGGAAGTTATCTAGAGATTAAAAAAAAAATACAAGCCTAACACAAATAGATTTTAAAAATTCCCACACAGCGCATGAAAAAACCCCACCCACATAAAAATAAAATTGTGTGTGTGTGTGTGGGGGGGGGGGGGGCGGTCTGATGGGTACCTAGCTTACGTTGGGGAAAGTAAAGGCGGCTGGGCAAAGTGCTGACCACACCATCCCTTCATATGTCGAGGTAAAAAAAACCAACATATAAACTCTACTACATCTGCCCTATGGATCGCTAGGTCTCAAGAGGAATCTTAACATACCAAACAGTAGGGTGGCCTCCACAATGGCGTCACATTTTTAAAAGTAAGGGGGAGGAGGTAAAGTTTTCACTTTAGTGGCGATGCTTGTCAAAGGGAGGGAGGGGGGGGGGGGGCGGTACATAAAGTTTGACTTCACACTTTTGCAGAATTTCAGCAGCCATTTTTGCGTTGTTCTTGTGACTTGTTTTGTAATGTCAGTTAATTAAAATGGCTATTATTGATATAGGTCAGTTGATATTTTAGAAAGAGAGGGATGTTGTTTTTTTAATTTCTATTTTGGAATGAGGGAGTCTGTATTAAAATTGGACAAAAAAAAATAATTAAAATTTAACCGAAAGTATTATCCACAAGGTGAAGAAACAGGATCTACAGGATGAACTATGACCCAGGCGAACTTTGAACCTACCACGTCGAGGTATGCGATCCTGTTGATAGTGACGTCACCAGCGATGTAGAGAAAGCGAGCCGTTTCTTTGGGGATCCTGTGGTTGAAGTCACAGAAAAAGGTATTGTTGACAAAAATCTGGGGAAGAAAGAAAATGTATGAGGTCTTTATCGTTAAAAATGCCTGGTGTTTTTTAAAGGATATCGATTCGTATTTATTCCTAGAATAAATATATGAATAAACTGAGTGGTCGGACGGTAGAGCGCACGACTGCTAACACGAAAGACTCTCAGATCCCGGACTCGAGTCCATACCTGAGTCTACTCAGTTTAAATGGGTACTCGACTGATATTAGAGAAACGAAAAAAAGGATGGGTATACTACTGAACACACGGTCCGTGGTCACAGATAAACTCTACTTCATCTGCGATATTTACCGCCAGGGGTAGCAGGGCATCTTAGGAAAATAAATCCTAACTCTGACAATTCATATCACAGCTCAATTTACAACTCCAGCTATTATATGATAGTAAACGGTAGAGAGCTAGACTGCTAACCCGAGTGTCACGAGTTCGAATCCGGGTTCAAATAAGTGGAACGTCCCAGAGTCAACCCAGCTCTGATAAGTACCTAACTCACGTTAGTGAATCAAAGGCGGCTAAAGCATAGTGCTGACCACACTATCCTTTCATATGCCGAGGTCATCTGAAGCAGATCAACTCTACTGCATCTGCTCTATGTGTCTTGGGCACGAACGGAAAGTGATGCGGTAACAAATGACCAACTTGTACACGGTAAAAATATTAGAGGCGGTCCGTTGTAAAGCCCAGGTTTATAATAGGGCTGGTAAGTAGGTCACCAACCAGTTATACGGCTCATGCAGGCTTTATTGAGCTGTAGAATTGGTTGGTGACCTACTTACCAACCCTATTACATGGAAAACTGAAGAGTGCCTGAAACACCCACCAGACGATTAAATAGTCCTAACCCCTCCCTCCCTCCCTCCCTCCCTCCCTCCCTCCCCCCCCCCTCCTCTTAAAAAAAATCTACTGACCTGGAAAGCGTGATGTCTGACAATGATCTTCACCTCGAACGCCCCGCCTTTGTAGAAGGGGAATCCCCCGTGTTTCTCCTCAGCGCCCCAGCCGCCCCTGTTGTGTGTGCGGACAACCTCGTTCTGGTCGAAGCGAGGGTTGAAGTGTAGGGCCGTGTCCGAGTCGTAGGTCTGGCCAGAGCACAGGTTGATGCTAAATCTGGGGGAAAGATTATTATCGTTTACTTTTGGCTGGTTGTTGCTAAATCTGGGGAATATTAGCGTTTACTTTTGGCTAGTCTGTTGCTAAATCTGGGGGAAAGATTATCATTGTTTACTTTTTGCTGGTCTGTTGCTAAATCTGGGGGAAAGATTATTATCGTTTACTTTTTGCTGGTCTGTTGCTAAATCTGGGGGAAAGATTATTATCGTTTACTTTTTGCTGGTCTGTGGCTAAATCTGGGGGAAAGATTATTAGCGTTGACTTCATGCTGGATTGTTGCTAAACTTGGATTACAAATTTTAACGTTTTCTTTTTGCTGATTTGTTGCTAAATCTGGATTTCAACTTTTGACGTTTATTTTTTGCTGGTCCAGTCTATGGGACGATGTGGTCACAGTGTATGGAGTTCGGATCTCAGTTCGGACTAAGATGTTCCTGAGTCCACCCAGTTGTGGTGCGTACCTGACTTACGTTGGGAAAGTAAAAGCGGCCGGTCATTGTGCTGACCACACTATCCCTTCATAAGCCGAGGTAAAAAAAACATTAACTCTACTTCATCTACCCTAAGGATGGCTAGTTCGAAAACCATCTTTACTTGTTGGTGTGATGCAACATCTGGGTTAGAGATTTTATAGTTTATTTGTTGCTAGCACGGTGCTAAATCTGGTTTAAATAACATACTGCTCTCTAAACCACTGTATTTGTTATTTAGTCAATGAAAACAAAACAAGCTTCGCGTAGCTGTATTCCAGAGGCGTAGCGAGGGGGGGGGGGGCGGGCGGGGGGACACATTTGTCCCCGGGCGCCGACCTTAGGGGGCGCCAAAATGGGTTGGAAAAACAAATCTAAAGCTTGAGGGAGGGGTGTAAATCGAAAGTTTGAGTGGGGGGGGGGGGGGGGGGGGGGGTGCAAATCGAAAGTTTGTCCCCGGGCGCCGGGAACTGTCGCTACGCCTCTGGTGTATTCCAACTTAGTGTTCTCGCGTAGTTTGACCAGGTAGCCTGTATAAGGTGGGGTGGGGTGGGGGGTGGGGGTGTTCAAGATTTGAGGAAGCAGTTACCCTACCCTGACAGGGAAATGCGAGCGTCAGTGATTCAGGGCTGTTTGAGGTTAACCGTCTAATCTACCTCCTCCCAAACTTATCCCCTCAACACTTCCCCCCCCCCCCCCCCCGCGCTAATTGAATCTGAAAGCTACACACGTTTAATACTTCAATTGAAAACATTTTTGCCTTCAGAAATAATAGCCTTCCCTTTATAACAGATTTCGCCTTGCGATATAAATAGTATAATCCCTATTATCATTTATCTAACAGGGAAGTGAATTGCTGTAATAATACTTCCGTTGTTGTGGTTTTTTTAAAAAAAAAAAAAAGATATTTGAATTGTGGAGTAATTAAAAAAAAAAGAACATCGAAAATTAGAATTTTGAAGAGACTTACCTCCCTGCATAAGGGGGGACAACTCCGTCAACTATAATTTCTTTTCCATCCGAGAGGTTGAATGGGATGTTTCCTGTGTGTGGGACTGGGTACTGCGAGATACACAGGCATGACATACAGATGTCAGTAGTATAAGAACATGACATGTAGATGTCAGAAACATGTCATACAATAAGATATGGCATTCAGATGTCAGTCGTAACACAGATGTGACATGTCACATGTAGATGTCAACAGTACACGGATAAGACATGCAGATGTCAGAAGCATGACATACAGCAGTAAACAGCATGACACGTAGACGTTAGGCAATGTCATTAGCACGGTTTAAAACAGGGTTGCTTTGAGGCATTTTCCTCAAGGAGGGGGGGGGGGGTGTTCTTAAAACAAAGTGGTGGGGGGGGGGGCGCTGGTTAAGGTATATATATTTTCTTTCTATATTAGAAAAACACTAGTCATTTAAAACAGTAGCGTAGCGAGGGGGGGGGGGGGAACATATGTCCGGGCGCCGACCTTAGGGGGCGCCAAAATGGGTTGGAAAAATAAATTGAAAGGTTGAGGGGGGTGCAAATCGAAAGTTTGAGGGGGGGGGGGTGCAAATCAAAACCTTGAGGGCAGTGTTTCTTCCAGACTTTTTTCTCCGGGGGGGCGCTTGAAATTTTCGGGGGGGGCGGTAGACTTTCTTCGGGGGGGGGGGGGCGGACACTGTTAAAAGTATATATTTTCTATATAAATTATATACATTTCATTTCGTTCGGGGGGGGGGGGGCGGTAAAAAATTTTCGGGGGGGGGGGCTTCGCCCCCCCGAAGAGATGCCTGGAAGAAACTCTGCTTGAGGGGGGGTGCAAATCGAAAGTTTGAGGGGGGGGGGGGTGCAAATCGAAAAGTTTGAGGGGGTGAAAATCGAAATCTTGAGGGAGGTGGAAATCGAAAAGTTTGTCCCCGGGCGCCGGGAAGGGTCGCTACGCCTCTGATTTAAAAATTGGCCTTAGAACACCATCGAATTCATATTTCTTATACAACAGTTTATGATGCTATAAAGCTTTTCATTTAGATTTAAAAAAAAATAAATAATGTACAATAAGGAGTTCTACCAAATGCTATATTATTATGATTTCTTTTTTTAACAATTGTAAAACCCAGGAACGTGAAGTTATAAACATACTGAGCCACATACAGCACCATTAAGTTTACACCTTCCTACTACATACAGTGGCCTAAATGAACTAGACCCTGACTATAAATAAACCATGACCTCTCTCAATGTGCACTGTAAACAAACAAACGACACGTCAATTAGTGGTCAAGAGGGTGTTGAGTGTGTAAACCGTTGACTTCAGCACTTCAGAGAAGGCGTTCGTCACTACAGAAGAACGGATAACAGACAAAACACCCGACAAAATAGAAGATAAAATAGATAACATAGCAAACGAAAGCAAACAAAATAGCAAAAAAAGCAGACAAAATAGCAGACAAAATAGCAGACAAAAAAAGCAGACAAAAGAGCAGACAGTGGATTGACATCAGATACTTCATCATACATTACATGCGTCGTAATAGCAGACACATCATTCGAAAACATTGAAAAAAAAACACGGGGCCTAATATAAAAATGGGGCTTAATATAAAAACAGTGGACATAAGATAAAAAATATTCAACATAAGACAAAAAAATATTGGAAATAACGTAAAAAACATTGGGCGAAACAAAGAAAAAATACACTTGACATAATGCAAGAAAACATAAGGCATTACAATGAAACAAAACATAAGACATTACATTAGAAAACAATCAGACAAATTTCATACGAAACATCATAAGAGTTATGTCATATTTCTCCATAGCAACCCCTACCGCACCTTCACTTAATTGATTCTCAGAAAAATGGTTTAATACCCCCACCCCACCCCAAAGTTTGATCAACAGCAATAATTGTAATATATAAAAAAATGAGCTTTAATCTTTTGTTGCACATGGTTTAACAAGGTTGTTGGTGGCTGGGTAGGTGGACGGGCAGCCGATACGAAAGAATGATGGATGGGAATGTCAGTAAGGTCAAGGCTAATAAATTGGGTGGTTGGTGCAATGATGGGGGGGGGGGGTGATCACTTGTGACATGTTTATCACGAGGTCCGGGTATATCTTATTATCACTTGTATCATGTTATAACTGTTTATATCTTATCACTTGTTATATCATGTTATAACTGTTTGTATCTTGTTCTTACAACTAGACAAAATTTTGATTGGAGGTGGGTGGGTGGTGGTATAGCCCGATTAACCCTCTAAATCCTTAATCCACCACCGGAGTTTTGAATTGAAAATTATTAATATATATATATATATATATATATATATATATATATATATATATATATATATATATATATATATATATATATATATATATATATATATATATATAGTTTTGTGTATAGAACAGTATAAGTACTTACAGCCATGGTGAAAAGCTAAGCCTGCAGTTTCCTGAAGTGGGAGACTCCGGCTTATTCCCTTCTCGTTTTATATACCAACAACCAGACCCTCCTTTCTTTCAACCAATCAAAACGTGGGGATTCTATCTGTTCTAAATTTAGCCTGACGACGAACCAAAATTTATCGCTGATCGCGATAACAACGAACTTCGTCTTGTGCCTTGGTCGCCAAATGTGAAGGCTGATCGGTGGTGATCAGTTGATACACGCCCACCCACTCGAGTAAAACAATGGCTCCTTTGTGAATGGTTATCTTACTTGTAGATAGTATATGGGACATAACTCGGGTATAGTAGATGGGAAATAACTCGGGTACTTTGGAGTTTTTGCATGTTAAGATGAGAACATTGTCGCACACACTACAAACCGGATTAAATGGAGAACTCGAGAGATAGAGAGGGAGAAAGACATCTTTGTACATTTAAAAACTTAATCAATTTCTAAAAAAATTATAGTAAATCAATATAATTGACAATGTAATTTTTAATATATAAGCTTTAATGAAAAAGTAGAACATTTGAAATAAATATTTAAACGCAACTTTATAATTCGCTCAGAGTGTGTGTTGAGTTGTTGTAACATTTTCTAGGTATTTCCATGATAAACAAAATAGACCGGCTATATATAAAGGAGGTAAGACAGTTAAAGCCTACCTAGTCGGTAGGGGACCAAACCCTCATTCGTTCAAGGTTTTAGGACGTCGACGTTCGATGATAGCATTCAATTTTCTGCTAATTAACACTGGGAAAAAATTAGAGCAGCTCATACAAATGAAATATTAGAACAATAAACTAAAAACATACACAATTTGAATAATTTTACTATCGTCCTCTCTCGATAGTGAAGAGTGTTCTTCCCTAACCCCTCCCCCTTTTATTTCTAAGTCCATTTTTGTGTGTCTCCCCCACCCCCCAATCGCCTAACATTGTTACCAATATCAAGACGCTTCATCCCTTAAAATGGCGTCACACAGACTACCACCGCCTCCCCCCCCCCTATACACACAACATGTTATATTTCTTTTTATAATTATTGTACCGGGTCATGTTGCTATAATTTAATTTAGTTTAAATGACTAACGCTAAAATGTGGGTGACATCTTCTCCCTTCCTTACCCCACACCTCATCACTAAAGTCCACGCTAATGAAAACAACAGCGGAGGATTAGTTCCTGGGTTAACTCGACTTAAAACACGAGGTAAACAATGACTTATCTAAAAGCATGCACCAATGATGATAAAGACGTTGGTAATCGAGACGCTAAGGACGATCAAATGTCCGTCTAAAACAGACATTAAATCAATTTTTATTCATCTTTAAATCCCAACATTCGAAAACCATGTACAAAACGTGTAATATTCAACGTCTAAATATATCAACAAACGCATGTATCATTAATACATAAATTATTGAACAATTCAGTTGTTAACATACCGTTTCATTGCGGTGATTAAAGCCTATCTCACAAACATAAGTACAGTCATTTTAAAACTCATCCCACTACCATCATGCAATCATTTAAAAACACATCCTAATACAATCGAAATAATCATTTTAAAACGCATACCACCACCACCACCACCCGTACAATCATTTTAAAAAAACCATCCCACTACAATCCGTACAATCATTTGAAGTCCATACAACTACCATTCCTACAATCAATAAAAACTCATCCCACTACAATTAATACAATCAATTGAAGCCCATACAACTAACATTCCAACAATAATTGAAACCCCATCCCCCTACAATCCGTACAATCAACAACCATACCCTTAGTCACACAAACAGATATCTTAACAATACCATCCAGTATCGTCTTTCTAATTAACGCGATGTGTCTAATAATTACCATCTAATCAAGACTGCTGTCTCATGCTTTTCATATTGACCTCAGACCAGCTGATAAAAGTTTGAAGAAGTTATTTCAAATCTCAACAACGTACCGAAGTACATTTGAAAGCGTTAGGGTTTTTCTAGATCTGTATGACTGTTTACAAAGTATATCTACTTAAATAAATAACCAGTTATACTTAAATATCGCTGAGCTTAAATGTGTGTCAAGCGCCTTTAAAGTGTCTCCCCCCCCCCCCCCGCGACCCATACGTACACAAACAAATATGATCATTGTTAAATAACTAAATTTAGCACTCGGAGATAATATGACAATTTGTAGGGAAATGATGATATGAAATATACAAGTAGATCTAGTCAGATGCGTAGCGAGAGGGGGGGGGGGGGGCGGGGGGTTGCGGACCGCACCGGGTGACACCATTTAGGGGGTGACACCAAGGCAAAAAATATATAGAAAAAAAAAATGAAAGTTTGAGGGGGGGGGGTGCAAATCGAAAGTTCGAGGGGAGGTGTAAATAGAAAGTTTAAAGGGGGGGGGGTGCAAGTTTGAGGGGGGGGGGGGGTGGGGTGCAAATCGAAAATTGAAAGTTTGTCCCCGGGAAGGGTCGCTACGCCTCTGGGGGGTGATACCATTAAGTGCCGCACCGGGTTACACCCGACCTCGCTACGCCACTGAATCTAGTGGTTTTATATTTTTCGCAGAAAATACTTTTATACATGTACAAGAAACCGGACCTGAACGTGGTTATGGACATACACATAAACATCAACACAGGCATGTAGCAGTGAATAGAGAGAGAATGTTTGGTTGGTATTTCATGAGCGACCCACTCTGTTTTAGGCTTCGGGTCATATTCAAAAGACGTATATAACCGTCTTCGTAAGAGTTAAGATTGTTGGATGTAAAAAGGGGTGGTACTAGCTAATCTGCCTTGATGCTTTCCACTGATAAGCCATGTGTGCTATACATTACATAACAGGACATGGAGGTGAGAAATGTTGAGGGGAGAGCAGTGGTCCTGGTTGGCTGAGATCTAAGGATTAAGTTAATGTTACCTACAAAGAGAGGAAGTTTTATGGTGGGTTAGATACAGGTGGGGGCTGGGTATCATGGGGGGGGGGGGGGGGGGGAGAAATTGTGAGGGGGGGAGCAGTGGTATTAATGTGTCTGATCACTTCCCTACTGGACCATGGTGGTCATATATTACATAACATACCACCCCAGATTGGCTGAAATCTAAGAATAGTTATCCCTGTTACTTACAAAGAGATTGGAAGTTTTATTGTTGGTTAGAAACAGGTGGGGGCTGAGTCGGCTGTATTGCCCCTTAGGGGTAATAAGTATGTTACCATTTTTAAAACACACACACACACACACATACACACCCCCCCCACCCCCCCCCCCCCCCCCCCCCACAAAAACACACACACACACAAACAGGGAGGCAGAGATGGAATACTATAAACAGGGCATATCATTAGACAAAACAGGAGAAGAATTTGAAATATCTATAAAGAGTACGTTAGGAAACACGTTAGTAAGAAACGACAAGAACAAAAGCAGAGTTAGAGATAGAATTAGTGAAACAGAAAGGTCATCAAATAGATAACACGCAACTGCCCTAGAACAACAAACCCCATTACCAAGAATGTGACCCGGACCGCCCCCACGAATGATTTTGAATAACGGACACATTAGTGAAGTCAAGTCGAGTATTTGTGAATCTAAGTAGTCGAGAAAATAGGCGAGAAGTCGATACGGTCAGTAGTAAGGTGAAGTTAGTAAAGTAAAAACTGAAGTCAATTAAATACTTGAAGTCGGTGAAGTAAGTAAAGTCAAAATTGAAGTCAAAGTGGTTATTTGAAGTCAGTTAAGTCAGTGAATAAAGTCGTTGAAGTCAAAGTAAAGTCATTGAATTGGTTGAAGTCTTTGAAGTCAAAGTGAAGTCGTTGATCTCGAAGTTAGGTCAGTTTAAGTCAGGCAATGAAGTCTATTATGTTTAAGTGAATTCGAAGTCAGTCAAGTTAGTCGTCAAAGTAAATTTAGTCGTCAAAGTGAAGTCGGTCATGTTACTGAAGTCAAAAGTGAATTCAGTCTATTAAGTCAAGCCAGCCACATTAAGTCAAGCCAGCCACATTAAGTCAAGTCAGAAGTCACATAGTGAGAGCTTCCCCACTATATGATCACGTGTTGAAATGTTAATTTGAAATGGCACGATACTATTGATATACACTTACATGTCTATTCTTTTTGTGAAGCTATCTCTTAGCTCTAGTAGTGTTTACGTCTATTGGGTTTATTATGCTTTACAGTTTGAATTTGGAGTGTACTATTTTATTATTTGGTTATTTCTGTAATGTTGTATGGTACGCCAGACCAGTGTTCAGTACGCATACATTTGAGAATGAGTTTTTTTTTAATAGAAGGTACCTCTGTCTGAATACTGGTCTACGTGGGCACTAAGATGGTCACGTAAAGCCATTGCTCATAGTCTCGAAATGTTCAGACCCACCAACGCTTACACGGAATGAGACGCGATGAAGCAGACACTTCAAAGAGTACCGCCACCGCTGAAGCCCCTGTACACGTTAAGTTACCTGGACAGCGAACAGCCCTGCTGGACAGTGAATTGCCCTGGTCAAGACAACGGACGCAATCGTCGCCACCGCTTCGCCCCCACACTGGGGTTATCTAAAACAGACCCCCCCCCCCCACCTACGTACAACTGCGTCGGTAGATAGGAAGGGTAGAATACCCTTCGTCCAAGTTCCCAGCGACAGAATGTTATGTCATTGTTCGCCACCGCATCAGACGGCTCCAGTTCATCGTGTAATCACTCTACGTGGACGTCTCAACCAGCGTTGAGATGAGATTGTTGCGTCATCACATTGACCAAGGAAAGTTACGCCTACACCCGCCTAACGGGAATTTACATCAGAACTCACCACAACCAACCCATCACAGAGGAACGCCAACAATTACATAACACTTACACAAACACACTGCTCACTGAGCCCGTTCAACTCAACCAGTTACACATTGCCACTAAGATTCACTCAAGCCCAGTACACGACAACCTAGCCAGAACTTGAGTTACACATGATTAGATTAACTCATACCATAACATAGACATACATTATCAAGCTGAGACACCACAGACGTCAGGATACTTACACAAAAACTAAAACAATGACATTATTGTTTCAGGAACACCGACACAAGATTTTATGTTTTTGTAAACTGTGCTGTCCCATTTTGTATTTGATATATATGATTGATGTTAGGGATAGAATAGAGTAGCAAGATAGATAGTTGTTGATGTATTAGATTAGTAGCAGACGCTGAAAAATAGAATTTGTCAGCTCCACAAAGGGAGGGAGATATGTGATGACGCTAGCTTAGGTCGGGTAGGTCAAGTAGAAGAAGTTAATAGAAAAAGGCTATAGCTAGTTGGTTAGAGAGCAGTGTTTCTTCCAGACTTTTTTCTCTCGGGGGGGGGGGGGGGGGGGGCGGCACTTGAAATTTTCGGGGGGGGGGGGGGGCGGACACTGTTAAAAATATTATTTTCTATATAAATTTCATTCGTTCGGGGGGGGGGGGGTAGACTTTCTTCAATGCAGGGGGAGATGGAGATGCCTGGAAGAAACTCTGTTAGAGAGTCATATGAAAATACAGGAGCTGACCGGTCACGTGGGACGGTTAGCTGACCACTGGAGCGTGCGTCTTCGGTTAGGCAGTTAGTATTAGAAAGCACAAAGTGTAGATTAGTTAGATAGAAGTAGTAGTAGTACAGTATCGATTAGTAAGTTAGGAAGTTGATTGTGTAAATTTTAATGAAGAACATTATATTTTGACTTGAACGTGTGTGATGGATTCTCATCATCTTCATCAACCCCACTCTCCTATTTGGCGGTTGCTGCATTTTAAAAATATACACACAATACAACCAAAAACAATGAACGCAACACAATCTGTTTTATCATCCTTGTTAAAAAAAAATGACATAATGATTCCTAGAATATTAATAAAAACAAGCGAACTAGGGGAAATAATCACTTAAATATCGCTGAGCCTAAATGTGTGTCAAGCGTCTTTAGTGCCCCCCCCCTCCCCCCATACACACAAACAAATATGATCATTGTTAAATAACTTAAATCAGCAATCGGAGATGATATGACAGTTTGTGGGAAAATGATATGAAACATACAAGAAGATATAGTGGTTATTTAGAAGAGGTCAAACAGGCAGAGGCGTAACGAGGGGGGAGGAGGGGGTGCAGACCGCACCGGGTGACATCATTTAGGGGATGACACCAAGGCAAAAAATAGCAAAATATATAGAGAAAAATGATAATTCCACTTAATTAAGTGTTTAATTCGAGTGTTAAATAGTGTTTTAAGAGGTGCAAATCGAAAGTTTGAGGGGGGGGGGGGGGGGTGCAAATCGAAAGTTGAAAGTTTGTCCCCGGGAAGGGTCGCTACGCCTCGGGGGGGGGGGGGGGGGGTGACACCATTAAGTGCCGCACCGGGTGACACCCGACCTCGCTACGCCACTGCAAACAGGTCACCTTGTTGTCTCGTGGGTTTTGTACGTATTGTGGTGCTCCTACATGTGTTTAAAGCATGATTTTTCCACATACTATGTCTTAAGTTCACACATACTGATAACAAAATTATACTAACCGCCTTTTAAGACATCATACCACTAACTTCTCCAAAATGCAAATTATTCATTAAATACTAACTTTAATTAAATAAGGGGATTATAACCAAAATATTCTTTCCACAGGGTAGGGTAATTTTTACGCTATTAAATGAATATTTACTTATGAAGTTTTGTTTTTAAAGAAAAAGTGAAATACCTCCTAAAAAAGTTTTTAAAAATAACTCTTCTTAAGAAGCAGAAGTGTGACGTCAGATCTGCTATACCCCTCCCCCCACCTTCCAAACGTGCTCCTCCATACTGACATTATTTATTGACCAATCCTTAGCAATAGTCATTTCTACCAACATTATCTTAAATTAATCTTCTTCTTCGTTCTTAATTTTTAGTTTCTTATCTACTAGAGGATTTGAACTCGAGACTTTTTTTTTTAGTCCAACCAAGAACAAACTACAAGGCAGCAGTTGTTTAATTTTGGAGTTGTCTCTCTTAGAAGAGTGGCTGTCCCCAGCTAACGAGCCTTACCTGCCAGAGGGTTCGAACTCGAGACTTTTCGGTTTAGTAACCATGAGCTCTACCGACTCGACCACGCCAACCCCTTTAAATTAATCAATTAGGTGCGTTTCAAATAGGGGGAGATGTTATTGTTAACCTTAAATATTAAGGGATGTAATCCAGGTTATACAAAGATATTTTACGAATTTCTGTAGTTGTCTTTCTTTGATTGAAAATAGATAACAAATTAAAACAAATTAGGCTTAAAAGTTGAAACAACAGTTATATAATTTAACTTTACCTGTTGCTCAAATGTTCAATTTTAACTAATCTAAATTAGACTTTAAAACAATGATATTTTGACTTTCTTTCAACTTTTTGTAGCTAATCAGAAAATCAACAAAAATAATAAAGTAGGCCTAACAGTAACAACCTGAGGAGAGCTCTTTAATTTAGGAGATAACTTATACATACAAACTTTCCTTATTTCTGCTAGAACCGGAAATTGTGTTGCAGATGTCAACATACTATGGACATAGTTGATATCAAACAAGTAGAAAGCGCTAAAACCGAAGTTCATATTTCGATAACAGGAAATCAGTAAGTGTTATTAACAGTGTGTAATTAAAAGTTAATGACTTTAAGTCAAAATCATTTTATATGTGACTTTTTATAACTACCGAGACTCTTTTTGGAAGCAGCTAAGCTAAATTTAATTTATTTCACAATTTTGAACGCGCAGGACAAAATAAATATTAAATAATATGGTAATCTATCGTTTTAGGTACGTAAAATCGGCCGCGACTAGTAATGTGAAAAACAGGTGACTCCTTACATTTTAATAATTATTTCACATTTTGATGAGGATTTATGTTTTGAAAAATACAAAAATGTTTCCTTGTTTCATTTATGTACCTGTTTTTAAACAATTGAATTAAAACTTTTCAGTAATAAATGAACACCAGCGATGTTTCCAACAGATGCAACCACGCTCATTTACTATAGCAGCCATCTTGTTTAAGTTTTATTTTTATAGACATATAGCGCGAGATTCAGGCGGAAGTCACTCTATTTTACAAATGGCTGCTGTTTATATAGCAAATCTTGCTTGCAGACACAGCTGTTTAAAGTTAATTTCTGGCCTATATTGATATATTTAGCCATTGATTTAGGTTTATTATTCATTTATCTATAATATTTGACACAAACATATCACAATATACTTCTATTACAGCCTTGACAATGAGGTAACGTTTTCGTACATTAATAGCCGCGGGCGATTTTACGTACCCAAAACGATAGATTACCAATAATATAAATATTTTTAAATATATAGATCTAGTCAGTGGCTTCTAAACAAGATATTATTAATTAGGCTTCTTTTTAGGCCTAAATTTAAAAAGAAGGCCTAAAATAAAATCTAGATCTAGTTATATTTAATAAGTAACAGTGACAGTAGCCTATCTTGATGACATTTTGTGAGGAGAGTAGCTAGTCTAGAAGAAATCTTGGGTAAAACAGTATTAAGTATTTTACTCCATTTCCTAACGTTTTTATGTGTTTCGGTTGTGTTTGTAATAAAATATGCTCAACTGGAGGTGAACGTGAAGTGGGGAATAAAATACGCTAAAATGGAGTTTTACCAAAATCTTATCAATTCTAGCAAGATTTGAGTTTGAGTCAGATTTAGTTTAATACTAAATAATAGTTAGTTTGGCCTGTGCATATGCTGTTTAATTCGTAATACTTTTGATTTCATAGTTTATAGCCACCCTCATTTAGAAAACACAAGTAAAAATGGCATCGATCTTACAATGCTTCAAGTACATGTAGTAAGTGTAAGACAAGACAATAAGAATAATGCAAGATGTAAGAATTTGAAGGTAATTGGCGAATTAAAGTAGCCAAATCTGCAGTTCTATAGTGTATTCGGTTAATTAGAACCATGTGTGTATGAACTAATTTTTATGTGGCGTTTCACAAAAGCTGCATATAAAAAAATTCTGATATAGGCCTATAAGTTGTGTGTGCTTCGAAGCAAATATCTTTAATTTAAGTGAATTAGTTTTAGGCCTACAAGCACTAGTTTTATATTAATGACTGCAAGATCTTCATTACTGCAAGCAAACTATAAGGTAATTATAATCAATTAAGTAAAAATGGTCAATTTTTAACAGCAGGTCAACCTTGAAATTCACCATTTATTAAGGCATTATAAATTATCGGTAATCCAAACCAGAAATGATGAAGGGTCAGGGATTGACTAAAATAGATTTTTTTAAAGTTGTTTATCAATCCCGGTAACCTTTACCTACATACATTCATTCCTAAGATATATTATTCTTCTGTGAGTTATTTTAACATAAACGAGATATTCAAATGCGAACCCAGGTCACTTTTAAAGCTGTTTTTTTATCATGTAAATGAAGATTTTTAGGTGATAAAAAAGTTAATATATGCTAAATTGACTTTGTTTATAATTGTGATAGCGTTTATTGATACTTTTTCCATAAATAAATAATTTTGATATTTTCATAAAAAAGCCTACTGTGAAGTTGCCTAACAACTTGATGTTTGGCATGTTTGTCAATTTATGAGAATTTTAAAAAATAATGGTAAATTATTTTGATGCTTTTGTCCACATCTAACTAAATCTATCATCAAATTTTAGATTAATTCTTAATTAAACTTTAAACCTATTCTGTTGAGTAGTAGAATCGTTTCCATTTTAAGATCTCAAAACACTAAAATTATGCCGATACTAAAAGCACTCATCCTATCTCTTACATATATGTGACCAATGTTTTTATAAAAGAAAGCAAGTTTGTTTTCTAATTTTCGGTATAATCAAAAGCTCAATAATATAAAGATTTTATTTTAAAATTAGTAATTTTTTTTATCATAAACCAAAATCTTGCAAATTTTAAATTATTAGACTATCATACCTGTTGCTGCGATCTCAGAAGAAAGGAAATTCAGTAACACTCATTTTGATAACATTCAATTACTTATTGTGGGGACGGTGTGGTTGAGTCGGTAAAGCTCATGGTTGCTAAACCGAAAAGTCTCGTGTTCAAACCCTTGGGCAGATGAGGCTCATTAGCTGGGGACAGCCACTCTTCTAGAAAAGACAACTCCAAAATCAAACAACTGCTGCCTTGTAGTTTGTTCTTGGTTGGACAAAGGCTATGAAAGCAAATCCAAAAAGAAAAGCAGGCTGAAAAAGGCATCAATGGCCTCAATGGCGCATTACCAGTTGGCATGTATCCTTAATTGTGTTGAGGGCGTGGTCGACAAAAGCTCATGGTTGATAAATTCTAAAGTCTCGAGTTCAAACCCTCTGGCAGAAAAGGCTTGATCCCTTCCAACGCAAAAAATTAAGAACGAAGAAGAAGAAGAATTACTTATTGTAATTTTTAGTTAAAACTTATTATAAATTTCAATTTTCAATGTGTCATTATAATTCAAGTTCTTGTGGATATATTTTTGGTTTTTTGTCTGTAACACCAATAAATCAGAAGATTTTCCATGTGAGCTGGCTGCATTCATTTGTTCATGTGAGAAGCCCAAATTTTGTCCTACAATCAGGGTTTTTATCAGGGTTACATCAATACCGTTCCAGCGTAGTATTTTTTAGAACGCTTTCCAACTTAGTATTGTTTAAGTGTGTGGCGTTGTTATTTATATGTATGTTTAAATCAATGTCAGCACTATATTTTGTGAATATTAGTTGTTGTGGTGAGGGGTTGCCCACATGTCCACCCATAAGCTCTGAGGTTGCTGTATGAAAACCTTTTGTATGTTGATCTCCCTTTGGAATGGTGAGACAGATACCTCTCAGAGAGTTCCCAGATGTCAGCAGTGCCAGGTGCATCTCCTGGTTGGATTTAGTCTTAGATTTTAGTAGCAATCCTAGTGTATGGCACTTCTTAGAACAAATATAGGCCTCTTAGTGCTCATGAGGCAGACAGAAGCGTTAAGGTAACACGACTGCTGGTTACCAAAGCATTGGTTACTCATGAAATATCTTACACATTTTAGCTACCAATGCTTTCACCATAGGGATAAAGTATGTTTATGTTATTCGCCTTGCATCTTATAGCTTATTGTTATACACATTTTTATTTATTTATTTTAATGTTTTATTTTAAAACTGAGATGATAATTTAACAAAATTATAATTTCCTCAACCATAAAAAAACTGTCCTCAGTGCTTATTCATCTAATGCCATTGAAATTTTACGCCCTAAAATTAAAAAAAATTGAATGAAATTAAAGGATATTTTATTACATTAATTTGTGAATTGAAAACAGCCAACTTACTATTATCAGTAGCATTTTTAACTAAATTTAAATAGTTTAGAATTCAAAAAAGTTTTCAGTGGCAATTCAAATGTGAACAATACATTAAATTAAATTTCTTTTTTTTTTAGTTGTAGTTAGTAATTGTAAAATGATACATACTATATTTAAAAGTCCTTGCTTAAGTTAGAAAAAAAGTGCTATTTATATTCTTCCAATCTAATTAATTCTAAGTTGATACTCAAACACACTAAATCCAATCAATATAATTTTGTCAATATTCACCTTTAAAGATCACATTTTGTTAGTAATTTCTGTCACTTTTAAGGCTAAATATTTGTAAGCAACATTTGTAAACCAATGTTTACTGCTACATAGTCATCTCCCATTTTATTAATGACAATTCTTGCAAAATCTGGCCCATTTTAATTTCAGCAATTTCTGTCAAACTTTCAAGATTTGTTCATTTCCAATAACAACATTAGGATATCTGTTTATATACCAAATTAGATTTTTAAATTATTAATTAAAACTCAATTAAATGATTATATTCTACAATGAAATGGGAGATAACAAGATTAAGTAGTAGTAGTTGTAATGATCAGTTGATCAAAGTAAGCTTGCTCTTGTGGATGTTTTGAAACCTGAGGGTTTAACAAAAATTTTAATCCGTGGCAGATAATTTTGTTTAGTAGTTATTTATCCTGTTTAGAATCAAATATTTTTTGTTGGGTCATCTTAATTAAAACTAAATATGGTTCAAATTGGCTTTTGTTTATTATTTATTATTTTGAATTTTTAGTGCATGTTGTTATACATTTTTAAAATCCTTTTTTACATTCTCTTATACTAAATATAGAGAAAATATTGTAATCATGACAAAAAAAAAATTATGTTTTACACCATCCAGAGTTGGAATCACCCAGTTTTTTTAATCTGTTCAGGAACATACTCTAAGTGTGGTAATCAACATCCTGTTTCTCCACAGTAGATAACTTGAGCACCCTTTCAATTAGCTGGACAAACTTTCAAAATTAAGTATTTGATTAAATGCTCAGGTTTCTTTCACATTTTGAGCTATTTTCATTAAACAGAAGTGTACCTTACTCCATTTCCGTGTGAAACAATAACTTGAGTACAGTTTCAGTTTAGTAGTTAAGTAGATGAAATTCAAAAATAAGTATTCAATCCCTTAACTTAATTTTCTTTTAGTTTTCTATTGATTTCCGATACAGATTTACATAGTGGTTCTTTACTCTCTTTTTGGTTTCTTAAATGCAGATAATTTGTGTATGGTT